AATTCTTAGAACCTTTACTCATGGTAAAATTCCACTGAGGAATTTCTAGAGTTTTTGTCTTTTCTTGCTCTGCAAGATTTAAAATTTTAATGCCATAATAATCCACATATAAATAATTTAAAACCATTCAAAATGTTAACATATTTGCCAAAACTCATTTTTAAAATAATTTTTATTTAAAACAAGGTTCTCTTATGAGAGAATTTCAATATCTTCTGAAATTACTTATTTTTAAGTAATAGGTGTATAGGTGGTCTTTGCTTAATGATCAGCAACTGTTCTAAGTTACAGTGGAATTGAACGAATGGTTTTTACATCTGGTCCTCAAAGTTAAATCCATTGCAGTTGCATTTATGATTGCACTGTCTGTAAGCAGTCAATCATGTGATGTTTTGTCTAATGCCTGCATTACTTAATGAAGGAAATTCCTGTCCCAATTAGGAACATTAAACAAGGACTACCTATCTTATGGGTTTTGACTACAATGGGGTTGAGTGTACCATCTACAAAATAATCTATCAAAGCAGGCAAAATTTTAAAATACCTATTCTAAAACAATGTTAATACATATGAGAAAATAAAATATATTCTGTATATATTATAATTAGAGAATATAGAATATCTATTAAATTACAATATGTGAAATTGAAATGCGTTTTTATTATATTGCAATACAGTTTTAAGAAGAAGTGATGGGCTGATTGAGGATCTTGGATTAAGTTACAATTACCAGCATAGACTATATTGCATATTACAGTTTGCAAAATGTAATTTAGAAAAATATCTATGGAGTATTTTAGCAGTGCTCTGTATAGGGCTATCAACATGAATCAGAGCAATAATAAGGGCAATGACTATCGTTACACTCAAGAAAATAAAGACTACAAATTTGTTTAGAACTTGACTAATCTGTACTATATTTTTGCTCCCTGTATGAGGGAAGGCAGATTCTTCCAGTGCTGATTTTCAAAGTGTCAGTGTCAAGTTAACTATCCTGGCCTACTTAAAGATTGTTACTAAGGCAATCACAACTGTTTCACTCCAAAACAAAATAACAATAAAACTATTGTGCTGCTGCCCTATTTGTTAAAGCTTATTCAAGGATTATCTGTAATAAGAAACACAGAAGGACATTTCAATTTACAGAAAAAATTTATCACTTTGTATATTTTCCAATTTTTATTCTTTTTTTAAAAACTGCTTCCTATTTCATGATCACCAAATAATTTCAGCTCATGATGCTTTTATATGCACCTTTATAATATCCATATATTGGAAGATGTCAAAATGTGTACCTCTAATATTTCTGGGGGGGAAAAACCTGTTTAATTTTATGTATGCTATATTGAAGTAATTATCTAGTGTTCCAGAAAACAAATCTGTGTTGTCATGGATACAAACAGGAGGAAGCATACCTTATAATATATTTATAAGTTTAACTATTTTTAGTGTCTCTTTTTTTAAGATAACATTGGCCATGATTTTCTAAGTAAGCCTAGATCGATATCTCTCCCAATCCATATCTTGAACTATATTTTTACTATAGTAAGATAACATTTTAATCCTTTAACTGTAATTCTTGATAGATCACATTTAAACCATAAGGTTTTATGGAAGAACAAATAATGTATATAATAATAACAACAATAATAACAAGAAACATTCTGAGTATGTCTACATTCTGAGAGCAGGTATAGACTAGAAAATCCTAGGGAGCACATTAGGATGGGAAATCTAGAAACCATTTTAAAAGAAGACATTGGCAAGTATCTTCCATACTTGCATAGTTTCCACAAGGAAACTATACAGCTCTTTTCATGTAGTCACAAAATGTCAACTCAAATCAAGGGAAAGTTTATATTTAATCATTAGCTTAACCATGAAATCTAATCTTTAAACTATATCTCCCAAATGCCTCATAGTGATAAAGAACCAAATAATGCCTTAAGTAACAAATAAGAAGTCTATGGCAAATTTCCTAAGAATCATTTTGTGAAACTGTTCACAAAAATATAGGAAAAGACCTGCCACAAAGCAATCCAGTTTACTGACTTCATGGTGTCTTAGTGGCCAAAACACTTCTGAACAGCAAGGAACAATCCAGATAATGTATAACAGTATATTTTGCATTGGTGTAATTGCTTAGGGTAAAAAGCCTCATTCAGAGGAAGATATGACTGGAAATATTCCCAGTAATAAAACATCCTGACAAAAGAGTCTATATTACTGCCAAGTGCTTTTCTTAAGGGTTTCCTTGCAGAATGTAGGTTTTCATGGCTGCTGTTTATTGATAAAACTACTTCTAAGTAATGAGTAATACATTTGTGAGAATGAATACATGCTGGTGTTTTTCTAGGCACACTGCTGGTTTCTGAAGAATTTGAAATCAAACTCAGAAATAGAAGTCACGTCTTTGTATATTATCTTGTTCTTTTCACATGCTTTAATTTTGCATTCTACATAATGTCCTCTTATGTCCAACATAAATGTCCTCACACCAATTTCTTGGGTGCAGTCCCCATCTGCAGTGATTTTGGAGCCCAGGAAAATAAATCTGTCACTACCTCCATTTCTTCCCAATCTATTTGCCAGAATTGAGAGAGCCGGATGCCCTGATCTTGGTTTTCTTAATGTCAAGTTTCAAGCCAACATTTGCATTCTCCTCCCCCCCCCCATCAAGAGGCTCTTTAATTCCTCTTCACTTTCTGCCATTAGAGTGGTAACATCTGCATATCTGAGTGTTACTAATTCTCTCGGCAATCTTAATTCCAACTTTTGATTCATCTACCCCCGCCTTTCTCATGATGTGCTCTGCATATGTTAAATAGGCAGGTGAGTATACAGCCTTGCTGAACTCCTTTTCCAATTTTGAACCATTCAGTGGTTCCATGTCCAGTTCTCACTATTGCTTCTTGATGCGCCTATAGGTTTCTCAAGAGACAAATAAGATGGTCTAGTACTTCCATGTCTTTAAGAACTTGCCACAATTTGTTGTGATCTACACAATCACAGACTTTAGCATACTCAATGAAGCAGAAATAGATATTTTTCTGGAACTCCCTAGCTTTCTCCATGATCCAACCTATGTTGGCAATTTGATCTCTAGTTCATCTGCCTTTTTGAAATCCTGCCTGTACTTCAGGTAGTTCTCAATCCACATACTGCTGGAGTCTAGCTTGTAGGATTTTGAGCATAACTTTGCTAGCATGTGAAATGAGTGGAATATTGTGGTAGTTAGAACAGTCTTTGGCATTGCCCTTCTTTGGAATTGGAATGTAAACGAATGTTTTCCAGTCCTGTGGCCACTGTTGAGTTTTCCAAATTTGCTGGCAAATTAAGTGTAGCACTTTTATTGCATTGTCTTTTAACATTTTGAATAGCTTAGCTGGGATACTGTCATCTCCAATAGTTTTGTTGTTGCTCAGACTTCCTAAGGCCCATTTGACTTCACATTCTAGAAAGTCTGGCTCGAGGTCAGTGACCACCCCATCGTGGTTATCAGGGACGTTAAGCTCATTCTTGTATACTTCTGTGTAATTTTGCCACCTCTTCTTAATCTCTTCTGCCTCTGTTAGCAGTGACGTGCGGTGAGGTTTATGGCTGGTGAGGCACTGACACAGTGGTGGGTTCCCAGAATTCCACAGCCAGGCATGCTCTGTTCCGATTTAAAGTGACAGCATTTGTTTTTCTCCTTTGCGAAATAAGTTTCTTTCTTTCTTTTTCTTTTTCTTCTCCCTTCTCCTCCTTCCTCCCTCTCTCCCTCCCTCTCCCCTCTCTCAAACACATACACACAGAGAAGTTGGATTGGACTATTTCTCCTACCCACTTCCCTCTCTCACTCAAACAAACTCTCAAACGAGCACACACACACACACACACACACACAAAAGTTGAATTGGAGGGAGTCAGGCAGACCACAGGAGGAGGCAGGAAGCCAGTCAAAGAGCCATACTGGAGCACACACACTTTCCCCCAGCCCCAGAAGGATCCAGCCCAGCTTCATTGATTGCAGGTTTGAAAAGACAACGTGGCTCTGCCTGCAATCAAACTACATTTGGGGAGGACAAGCCAGTCAGGGTCCTTCCCTCCAGCCTTTGCCCACAGCCCCGCCCCAGGAGGATGAAGTTTGAATTCCTTCCCCTCCCTCCGACCCACATGTATCTTTTCCAGCTGTTTCAGAGAGGATTTCAACTCTGCTCTTGCCAGTCATCATGAAAAGAAAAAAATGTAGAAGGAAAAAGGCAAGAGCTGAGGTCAGGCTGAGCTAGTTGCTGCCAGAGTCACCATGGATGACTCTTAACTCTTTGAAAAAGCCTCTAAAAAAGCGCCCTCTACAGGAGGAGGCAGGGGAACGATGTGCCTCACCTACGTCAGGAATTTTTCGGCTTTTAACCCTTGCTTAACTCTGCTCGAGTGATCATAAAAAGCCTAGTCAAACTAGATGAGGCACGTCGTTCTCCTGCCTCCTCCTGTAGAGGGTGCTTTTAGAAGCTTTTTTAAGCAGTTAAGCAGAGTCATCCACAGTGACTCTGGCAGCAGCTAGCTCAGCCTGACCTCAGCTCTCCCCTTTTTCCTTTTATATATATTTTTCTGTTCATGATGACAGTGGTGAGGCTCTGCCTCCCCTGCCTCACCTGATTGCACGTCACTGTCTGTTAGGTCCCTGCCATTTTGGTCCTTTATCATGCCCATCTTTGCATGAAACGTTCCCTTCATATCTCCAATTTTCTTGAACAGATCTCTGGTCCTCCCTATTCTATTGTTTTCTTCTATTTCTTTGCACTGTTCATTTAAGAAGGCATTCTTATCTCTTCTAGCTATTTTCTGGAATTCTGCATTCAATTGGGTGTATCTTTCTCCCTTGCTTTTCACTTCCCTTCTTTCCTTAGCTATCCTCCAACAGCCATTTTGCTTTCTTGCAGTTCTTTTTCTTTGGGATGGTTTTAGTTGCTCACTCTTGTACAATGTTCCAACCCTCCATCCATAGTTCTTCAGGCACTCTATCTATCAGATTCTAATTCCTTAAATCTATTTATCACTTCTATTGTACATTCATTAGGGATATGATATAGTTCATATCTGAGTGGCCTAATGATTTTCTCTACTTTCTTCAATTTAAGCCTAAATTTTGTGATGAGAAGCTCATGATCTGAGCCAGTCAGCTTCTGATCTTGTTTTTACTGACTGTATAGAGCGTCTTCAACTTTGGCTGCAGAGCACATAGTCAATCTGATTTCTGTGTTGACCATCTGGTGATGTCCATGTGTAGAGGCATCTCTTGGGTTGTTGGAAAAGAGTGATTGCTGTAACCATCGTATTCTCTTGACAAAATTCTACCAGCCTGTGCCCTGCTTCATTTTGTATTCCAAGGCTAAACTTGTCTGTTATTCTGGTTGTCTTTTGACTTCCTACTTTAGCATTCCAATATCCCATGATGATAAGGACATCATTTTTGGCTGTTAATTCTATAAGGTGCTTTAGGGCTTCATAAATTCTGTCAATTTCATCCACTTCAGCACCCTTAGTTTGGGCATAGACTTGGACTATTGTGAGGTTGAATGGTTTGCCTTGGATTTGAACTGAGATCATTCTGTAATTTTGGGGATTGTATCCCAGTATTGCTTTTCCTACTCTTTTGTTGACTATGAAGGCTACTCCATTTCTTCTGAGGGATTCTTGTATACCTGATGGTCATCTGAATTAAATCCACCCATTCCTGTCCATTTTAGTTTGCCGATTCATAAGATGTCGGTATTTATTTATTTATTAGACTTATATACCGCTTCATAGGGCTTTCAGCCCTCTCTAAGCGGTTTACAA